GTAGCAGTAGATTGGAAGAAAGCTGGAGCCGACCAAACCAAAACATGGCACAAATCTATGAAGTTACTGACAAGTGGACCTGAGTGATGTTGGTAGGTGTAGGCTACCTTGTTGGAGTCCTCGAGACGAAAGTAACCTATGGTGAGAGACCTTGTACGATATGGCTCAAAATCGTTATCAATCGTGCAGGTGCATCCATTCTTTGCGTTCCCTCTAATTCTAACCTTCTGAATTCCGCTTAATCTCTATCTTTCTCCTTATAAATTTATGTTACTGAATTATACTTTTTGAATCATATCTTCGCTCCCTAATCTTCTCCATTGTTGCTAATAATTCTAATATCGTTATCACTCCTTGGATTTGAAGTGACAGTTTACGTCTCTGTGCTGACGTGGTGTGGCAAACCTAAACTGATGTACTTATTGTACGAAGTTCTGCGTTGTATCTGTCTGTCTGTCTGTCTGCTCAAAAGCGTTTGTAATGGCACAAGTTCATCCACTCTTTGTGTTCTCTGAAATTCTAATCTTCATAATTCCTCATCATCCCTATCTTTCTCTTTCTAAATTTATTTCACTGAATTAATACTTTTCGAATCATATCTCCGAACCCTAATCTTCTTGATTACTGCTGCTACTATTACTACTACCTCTACGACTATGAAATTCGAGTTGACAGTTGATTTGCATCTCTGTGTGTCATTGTGGAGCGGCAAAACTTGAACTGATGTATGTATGTAGGAAATTTTATGTTGTTGTTGACTGACTGACTAACGGACTGATGGAATGACTGAAAGTTTCATGTTATTGTCAAACACCACCATAAAAAAGGCCTATCATCTTACCTTGATATATATAACTCCGGATATATATATATATATATATATATATATATATATATATAACATTGATTAAATCTATCACTGATTTCGTTAGGCATAGACAATTTCATATACAAATGAAATCATGTTTCATTTTACATTAATAAATTATTGTTTTAATAGTAATAATAATAATAATTATTATTATTTTTCATAAGACAATTTCACTCTGTCCCACCGTACCATCTTGGAGTTTATCTGAACAAAATCCATGCTTATTAGGTTCAACTTATTGGTGTCGTGATTATAGTACAGCAAAAATGTGTAATGCTGTGCAATATTGCAATTTCAATGGTTGGACAACTTATCCACCATCAAATCAAAATAAATTCTTTCAATCTCAATGTGAATTAATGAAATTAGCTGAAATATGCGTAAATTGCGAGTTGGCGAAAAAATGTAATCGTATAAATGATTGTTATCAAGAACAAGTGAAAAATTTCTTAAATTTATTTAGTATTTCAACATTATCTTTGGATAATACAAATGATCAATCCCCATGTTCTGTATGCGTTATGATGACAACCAAATGGTTGTTACAATGGGATTTATTTGGTGGACCAATTATTAATCGTAGTATATGCAGTGAATATAAAACTGTCAATGAATTACAACAGGTGAGAGAGAGAGAGAGACAGAGGATAGTTTGTTTTTAGTTGACCGAAATTTTTTTTTCTGAATCATATCACATTACTAGCTATTGGTAATAAGCTGCTTTCATAAGTTACTTACTTACTTACCTATGCCTGTTACCCCCAATGGGGAGCATAGGCCACTGACCAGTATTCTTCAACTTGCTCTATCCTGGGCTTCTCTTTCCAGTTCCGTCCGATTTGTGTTCATTCTTCTCACTATCTGTCTCAATTTCTCGGCGTAATGCGTTCCTTGGGCTTCCTCTTTCCCTTTTGTCCTTGAGGATTCCAAGTGAGGGCTTGTCTTGGGACGCAGTTAGGTGCTTTCCTCAGTGTGTGTGTCCTATCCACTTCCATCGCTTCTTTCTGATTTCCTCCTCCACGGGAATGTGGTTAGTTCTTTCGCGCATTAGGTTGTTGCTGATCGTGTCTGACCAAAGGATTTGAAGTATTTTGCGTAGACAACTGTTAATGAACACTTGTATCTTCTGGATGATGGCTTTTGTAGTTCTCCAGGTTTCCGCTCCATACAGTATAACCGTCTTGACATTTTTATTCAAAATCCTGATTTTGGTTTTAGTTGAAAGTTGTTTGGAGTTCCAGATATTTTTCAACTCTAGAAATACAGCCCTTGTTTTGCCAATCCGCGCCGTCCCATTTGCATCGGATCCACTTTGGTTGTCGATGATGCTGCCAAGATGTGTAAAGGTGTTAACGTCCTCCAAGGCATCTCCATCAAGAGTGTCTGCTCAAAGGATTTGAAGTATTTTATGTAGATAACTGTTCATAAATACTTGTATCTTCTGGATGATGTCTTTGGTAGTTTTTCAAATTCCTTTCATCTGAAACTAGTATTATTGATTCACTTTATCTTATAACAGCAAACTTAAAATTTCGTCGTTTTTGTTCCCCTACGTTGGCTGTTATCTAGTAAGTATTCTGTGTGCTCGATACATTATATTTTGGGATTTGTCAGTTGATTGAATACATACTTACCTCTTCTTGGTGTTGATATTCACATTGACACTCGAACTCCGTTAGTAATAGAGCTTTCGCTTCAAACAACATTACGTCATCCATTAAGCTACTGAGTGTAGTCTCATTACACAAATATAGTAATTATTTACAATTTCGAGTTTTTTTTTAAAAATTTTTTCATATATTATTTAATTGACGTTTCTAATAAATTATAATATTTTTGATTTGACAATGCATTTACTCTGAATTCAATTGTTTCACATGAATAAAAATAGTTTTATAAATGTTTCATTAAAAACAAAGTTCGTATTTATTTGTGCTTTATGTGATTTTGTGATTTTGTGCGTTTCGATCAAGCTGAGTGTGAGCATATTTTGTTCAATACACTTTAACATTCTTCATTATATGTTCATCTTGTACTTGAATAGACACTTGATGTTCAATGATTGAATGAATGCCTCGAGTAATGGTACTGCTTATTTTCTCTTTGGATTTTGAGTCTCAATATTATGATTATTTCTTACTGTTGATTCCATGCATGTTATTTCAACTTCTGTGGATTTGTTCTCACCGTAGTAGTAGTGGTGATGTAACAACTTAAACTAATGGACATGTTTGCCTAGGTTCTACGTTGATAATAACTAATTAATTGACCGTTGCTTACGCCTGCTATCTCTTGAGTAGCATCATTGACCGCTGATCAGTAGACTCATGTTGTTACGACTTACTGCTCATTCTTCAATGTCCACTTGTGATTCTCTGTTTCGTGTGTTCTTTGGTCTGTCACTTTTTCTTTCGGCCTTAAAATTTCAAGCTAGGACTTAGTATGTCATGTAGTTCAATGATTTCTGCAGTGTATCCACCTCCAAAATGTTGTCCTAATTTCCTATTCAGTTGGAAGCTGGTTTGTTCGCTGCTACAGGTCTCTAAGACCAACACTTTTCTATCTTCCTTTTCCGGTCCCTCAAGAAACAATCTTCTACGGTGTGGACAGCCGGGAAGTGACAACCGTCCTCATACCCGTAACAACACACAGTTGGCCTTTATCCAATGGTATCTGTCCAATGAATCTGTAGTATTCTTGTCTAGATAAGTATTTATAAATAACTGTACCTTTTGAATGATGGTTTCATAGTTCTTCAAGTTTCAACTCTATGCAAAAAAACTGTCTTGATGTTTGTATTGAAAAATCTGAATTTAGGCATGTAAACGTTTCCACCTATTCGATGTTGAGTGGATTCAGTGGGGTCGTCCAATTGAAGAGCTCTAACAATCTGTTATGCTCTTCTTGTATAGCAGGAGTTACTTTGCATTCTTTGCATTTCACTGGACGTTGTGGTTTACTATATTTTCCAGCGAGCTTCTACATTGTTTGATATAGTTGTCTCATGTTTACTTTTCTAGCAGCTTTTTCCTACTATCACTACTTGGTCTTCCATATATTTTCACTTATTCAACTTTAACACTTCTCTTCACTTGCTTGTTTACTTCTGTGTTTTCGGACTGTACCTTAACTTTCTCTGTTCTTGTTTGACTGTTATTGATTACTATCCTCTTGTTCTTCCTTTCTTCAGTTCTATCCACAGTATCAAAAGAGATCCATTTCTTGTGATTGTTCTATTTGTGGCCTAAAAATTCATTGCATACTAAGGCAAATGTTTCTTTGATCTCTTTCCCAGTAGTTTCCTCTTTATTGAATAGATTGTCAAAAGGCCTTGAACTTACTGCTGACTTTGTCAGTATCCTAAAGATGGGTCGTATTAAACTTTCGTGTTGCTATTTGTCTGATTGTCTGGTGTTTATTTAGTTTCAGTTTCATCCTGTTCACCACCAGAAGGGGATCTGAAACTATGTCAAGTTCTCTTTTTCTTTGTACATTCTACATGATCCTTCCTATTACTGGCTTTATAATTCCCGAAAAACCTCAACTTTCACCATAAAACTTAATAGATTTCTAAATGAAGACCTTCCAACCAACTACCGGGACAAGGTTTAAATGGTTTGTATTATTCTTGCTTGTTAGCGTTTTCTGGCACAGGCATAGAATTGCTAACCCTATGCCCGTTCCTAATCTCACCTTTATCCGAACTTGAGATCAACTGTAACCGTCTGAGTGCTACACAGGCGGAGTTTTTAATTCACAGTTCTCTCATACACTGATTGAGTAACTATCTATTTAAGTTATTGATTTTATCGGTTTTTACGTAAAGCTTTTTTTTTTCTTCAGCGAAATTAATTATCAAAAATATTGTATTTTTGATTTGTTTACTTTCTTATTCAGTGTTATAGTGTTGTTGAAAAAGCTGGAACGCTGTTGATTAATTCAAGAAATGATCGTCAAAATGTTGAACAAATATGTGCTGTATGTATTATTTAATTTGTATTTTATTATGTACAATTTTATGCTTAATTTGTTTGCTGTGTAACTAGAAATACATGTATGTACTATTTGGGATAATAAACTATCAGTCGGTCAGTGATAACGTAGAACTTCGTACATGAGTACGTACGACGTTCAAGTTGCCATACCGCATCCGCACAAAGACACAAATGTCAGTTAAAAAAATCCCATAGTGGTAAAGATAGTGCAAGGATTAACGATAATGGAGAAGATTAGGGTTTGAAGACATTATTCAAGAAGAATAGTTCAGTGAGATAAATTTAGGAGGAGAAAGATAGAGGCGATGAAGAATTCAGAAGATTAGGATTTGAGAAAGGACAAAGAGTGGACGCACCTACGCCACTGAAAACGATTTTGACCCATGTCGTCTCTAACCATTGGTGACTTTCGTCCCGCTTACCCCAACCAGGTAGCCTACATCTACCAACACGACTCAGTTCACTTGTCAGTAACTTCATAGATTTGTGCCATGTTTTGGTTTGAACACCCTTAATTTTATTCCAACCTATTTCTACAGTACAAATCATAGCTCAACGAGGCAGTCGGTCGTTGGACATTCATATCACATATCCCATCCACCTCAACTGATGAAGTTTCACTACTTCATCTGTTGATCTGCCATCCATTCGTATTACTCATTTCCTAACTATAGCATTGCTTACTTGGTTGTTCCAGGATATACGAGGATATTATTAAGTTATATACATGATTTGGTTGAAATACACTTTTTAAGATGATTAATTTTTTAAGGACTAGCTGCTTTGGAACTACTGTAAGTGATAGCTAGTACAGTTCGCTAGATGTGTTTGCTTAAATCACATAGTTAACATTCTTCACAAAGTGTCTATGTAGAAATTGATTCTGTCAGTTGATATTCATCTCATATTAATATCACTTTGAATACTACTGAAGACTATGGACTTATTGGACAAACGCTTTGTTCTTATTAATAGTATACCTTAACAACTCTCATTAATAATGACCAACACTAAATAAGCAAACTGAACTTGATACTTGTAGAAATTTATCAGTGAACACAATAACTGAATCCATCAAATGTGTGAAGTCAATCTGTGATTATTATTATTATTATTATTATTATTATTATTGTTATTCCATAATAAAAGAAATTAACCATTTGATTCTTTGTGTGTGTGTGTGTGCGTGTGTGCGTGTGTGTATGTATGTATGCATATACATATATACATTGATTGCCTTTATATATTGTGCATATAGCGTACAATCAATTGTGCTCCAGTGATGAAAAGTGACACCAATAATGAACAATCACCTGCACAAACACAAGGCGATGATCATCAATCGATGAATGCAAATCCGGATCAATTAGGTCAATTAGATTTTGATAAAATTGCTTGTTTAGCCGGTCCAACTTATTGGTGTTCATCAAAAGAGATAGCTAAAAAATGCAATGCAATCAATTATTGTACAGATTTATATACACCGGAAATTATTAATCCCAATGATATGGATAACAATAATAATAATAAAATGGTTGACAACAATCATGCCACTACTACTACTACATCTACACCATCAAAAACTGTTAAAACAAAATCAGAACAGTTGTTAGGCAAAATCCGTGTACATGGGGACCAGGTTATTGGTGTCAATCAGAAGAGACTGCTAAATTATGCGGTGATACAGCTTTGGAACATTGTCAAACTAAAGTATGGCTTGTTTAGTAGTACATCACAGAAAGCAACAACAAAAACTTCTAAAATTGATGACAGATGTACACGTGGTCCATCATTTTGGTGTGCATCATTTGAAAATGCAAAATTATGCGGTCAACATGCCGAATGGCATTGTATCAATGTAGTTTGGTCGAATATACATAAATCCAACATGAAACCGTAATAATTGAATCAAGGAGAATAAGAAAAAAGATCAGTGGAACTTTTTTTTTAATGTTTAGAGAACATTTTTGTATTCTCATTTCCCCGAGGTTTATTCTACTCTCTGCCTCTCTCTGTTTTTTTTTTTGCTTTGTGTGTGTGCTGCATACGGGCGCTTGCTTGCTCGCGCACTTCCGCCTGCTCGCTCATTGAATGTGTTTTCTACTGTTTGACTTTTAGAAGAAAAAAAAAGTAAACCTAAAAATCATGGAGTATTTTTTTTTTCATTTTGCTCTTATTCAGATAAAAAAATATGTTGATTAACACAAACAATAACTATTGTTAACTATTATTAATTAATTAATTTCATTTCTAAATTGTTGTTGTTGTTGTTGTTTTTTTATACAAATGTATTGTTTGATTAAATAAAAGCTTATTGTTCAATTTATACAAATTCTATATTATATTCAATATATGACATGGGTTCACCAAAGAAAAACACTTATGACTGACTGACTGACTGATTCGTATTTAGTAATGACAAGTAATTCGTAATTTATGATTTCATAGTTAGATTATGTTTGAGATAATTCGCATACTTTGTATCGTATGTTTACTCATTTTGTTAACCTTCTTAACGGTATATATCAATTTCAGAAGCGTTGAGTTTCGTTTATTATCATTGTATAGCATAGAGCTATAAGCATACAAGGCGAATACGAACGGTTAAGCGTATTGTTTGGGAGAAAATGAAAGAGTAAGAGGATTTAGGCAGCACATATATAGTTGTGAGAAAGTGAACGAGTTATTGAGCAATTCAATCAAGTAGCTAACATTTTTAAGCTGGTAAGAGGATTGAATGTATGTAGGCTGTAACATGGGATTAAGCATACATTAGTCAACTAAAACATAGGACTTCGTACGTATGTATGTACATCAGTTCAGATTGCCATACAGCATTTGCACACAGACGTACAATTGTCAATTCAAATCTCATAGTTGTAGAAGTATTAGCGATAGTGGAGAAGATTAGGGTTCGAAGATGTTATTCAAGAAGTATAATTCAGTGAAATAAATGTAAAAATGAAAAAGGAATTAAGAAGATTAAAAAATTTGAGAGAAGACAAACAATGGATGCACCTCGACCAATGTCAATGATTTTGAGCCATGTTAATCAGGGTCTCTAACTATCGATTATTATCATCTCGTGGACCCCAACGAGGCGGTCGACACCTACCAACATGACTCAGTCCAATTGTCAGTGATTTCATAGATTTGTGCCATGTTTTAGTTTGGCCGCCCCTAACTTTCTTCCAATCTACTGCTGCACTACAAAACATAGTTCTTCGAGGCAGTCGGTGGTTAGGCTTACGCAACACACATCCCAGCCACCTTAACTGATGAAGTTTCACTACTTCATCTATTGACCTGCCATCCTTACCTAGTACTCGTTTTTTATTAACGACAGCATTATCCTCCTAGATACTATCAACACACACACAAAATTGTTGGGGATGTTAGATCCCCAAAATTCGCTTGATAATGCCGTATTTTGGTTTTCACGTTTCGCCAGCAGGGGCTGATCAAATGACCTTGAGATTTCAATTCCCACCAGGAAAATCAATGGCTGTGATTGGCTGCAGTGTATTTTAGTATGCTATTTTCTTAACTGTCTCAAGGACGTTGTTATGTTGTATAAATAAACGAGAGTTGTATGCTTGATTGTACTGGGATTGCTGGGTGCTTGTAGAATATACTTCTACGCCTACAAAGTCTTCTATTTCGATTCTGGGATTCAGGGTAGCCTTCCTGGAAGCTGGTAAAAGTCTCGTTCGCGTTTATCGACTAAGGTAACTCGTCATAACCTCAAGCATACTAAGTGCCGAACATATCAGTGGCGACGGGGCTCACAATTCACAATGTCAATTAATCTTGAACAGTTAGAATCTTTACTGGAACGTCAAGGTAAACGATATGAACAGTTCCAGGAACGTATGTTGGAGCTGTTAATGAAACAAATGAATTTGAATCACAGAGGTTTTGCCGATGATTCATATAATCCGCATACAGACTCGATAGTTAATTCCATTCATGAATTTCATTTTGATGGCCTTGCTGGTGTGACTTTCGAGTCTTGGTTTAAGAAGTATGAGGATTTGTTCAAGGTCGACCTCAACAATCTTGATGACGCCACCAAAGTCAGAATCCTTTTGAGAAAGCTCGGCACAATCGAACACGAACGTTATAGTAATTTCATCCTCCCAAAGAACCCACGAGATTTCTCTTTTGATGCTACAATTGATACGCTGTCGCAAATCTTCTCTGAACAGTCATCTCTCTTTAATATTCGTTATCAATGCCTCAAAATAATCAAGTCAAATGAAGATGACTGGGTAAAGCATGCTGGCTTAGTAAATCGTGAATGCGAACGATTTAAATTATCATCCATGACGGAAGATCAGTTTAAGTGCCTTGTGTTTGTGTGCAGCTTACAATCTCCCGACGATGCTGATATAAGAACCAGAATCCTAAGTAAAATTGAACAGTGCCCAAACATCTCGCTTCAAGAAATAACTGCAGAGTGCCAGAGATTAGTAAACTTGAAGCATGATACCTCCATGGTCGAAAACAAGGGCCTCTCATCATACGTGCATTCAATTAGTGAAAAGAAAAATTCCAATTCGGCCCAAAAACCCAAAATGAATCCACCTTCTGCTTGCTGGCACTGCGGTTCATGGCACTATGTACGGAACTGCCCATTTAGGCAGCATAGATGCAGGAAGTGTAAAGTCATCGGTCATAAAGATGGCTTTTGCCTACAGAAAAAGCCAAAGCGATCCAGAAGTGCTAAGAAGCCTGTTCCTAGATCCAGTACCAATGCATTGAGCCTAATATCTTCCTGCCAAAGCTCATCACCAGGTGAGAGGAAATTTATTACTCTTAATATTAACGGTTATTTGTGTAGAATGCAAATAGATACTGCATCTGATGTCACTATCCTCTCACGCAAAAATTGGACCAAATTGGGCAGCCCAAGCCTGCAGCACACAACACAAAAGCCTCGTACAGCATGTGGTAATTATCTTCGTCTGTTAGGACAATTGGAATGTAAAGTTGCTTTCCGAGATTCGTCGTTTACTGGGGTATGCTATATAACGCCAGCTGATCTAAATTTACTTGGTTTAGATTGGTTCGACCAGCTAAAACTGGCTGATGTCCCGTTAAATACTATATGCAACCTGTTGTCACAACGACATGACCCAGACGCCTTGTCACGACTCATTAATGATCAAGTGGCGGCTGAGGAAAACATGGTGATCGCATCTCTGTCAGTAGAAGACCACGCAGAATGTTATCTGACAACCGCAGTTCGCGCATTACCGGTGTCTGCAACAGACATACAAAATGCTTCTAGAAACGACCCCATCATCAAGATGACGATGAAATATGTCACTAACGGTTGGCCGTCGAAAAAGTTTGAAGGTGACATGAAGCAACTGTATCAGCGGCGGGAGTCACTATGCATCGTCAACGATTGTCTGATGTTTGGTGAAAGAGTAGTGGTGCCAGAATCCCTTCGTGCAAAAGTGCTGAGACAGTTCCATCTTGGTCATCCTGGGATTAAACGAATGAAGTCCATAGCCAGGAGTTATGCATACTGGCCTCACATGGATCAACATGTCACAGCGTTGGTTGAAAAATGCATGCGGTGTCAGCAGGCGGCAAAGATGAATGCATACGTTGCGCCGGTTTCATGGCCCAAACCTGAACATCCTTGGTCCAGGATACATGTCGACTTCGCCGGTCCAATTAATGGAACTATGTATTTAATTGTCGTCGACGCCTTTTCTAAATGGCCGGAAATCAGCCCTGTTATGCCGCCCACTACAACTAAGACTATACAGCTCCTAACTGAAATTTTCTCACGAAATGGCATACCAGATGTGATCGTATCCGACAATGGCTCTCAATTCACCTCTTCCCAATTCCAGAATTTCTGTCAACGGCTAGCCATTAAACACTTACGCTCGCCACCATACCACCCTCAATCGAATGGGCAGGCGGAAAGGTTTGTGGATACGTTTAAAAGAGCACTGCTTAAGTCAAAAGGGGAGGGGACACCAGCCGAAGCGTTACAAAATTTCTTGTACGTCTATCGGACAACACCAAATGAATTGTTACCGGAGCAAAAGTCCCCAGCTGAAATACTGATGGGAAGAAGATTGAAAACGATCCACAGCCTGATCCATCCGACCAATGCACCCTCATCAGTAGAGACAAAGCAGCAAAGACAATCCGCTTACGAGGTGGGATGCCCTGTGTTTGCCCGCGACTACAGAACGAACCATGGTCCTTGGGTAGAAGCGAGAGTGGTCAGAAGGGTTGGTCGAGTTATGTACAAAGTAGAGGTAGGAGGTGATAAATGGTCACGTCATCGCAATCAGATACGCAGACGGCTAGCCCCAGATCGCCCATCAAGAGCAGAAAGCCTTCCCCTTGACATCTTGCTTGATACCTTCAACCTACCGAGAGCCCCGCCACGAGAAGAAACTCAGCAGCAAGCTGTTCTTCGTTCCCGAAGGTATCCCCTCAGACAGCGGCGAACAATAGTCAAGATGCAAGTCGACCCCAGGAGAACAAGCTATTAAAAAGGGGAGGAGTGTTGGGGATGTTAGATCCCCAAAATTCGCTTGATAATGCCGTATTTTGGTTTTCACGTTTCGCCAGCAGGGGCTGATCAAATGACCTTGAGATTTCAATTCCCACCAGGAAAATCAATGGCTGTGATTGGCTGCAGTGTATTTTAGTATGCTATTTTCTTAACTGTCTCAAGGACGTTGTTATGTTGTATAAATAAACGAGAGTTGTATGCTTGATTGTACTGGGATTGCTGGGTGCTTGTAGAATATACTTCTACGCC